ATAAAAAATATGAAAAAATTAGTTAAGGGAGATAGTATCTTGGTATAAAATATAGTGAGAGAAATAACACAATGGTCTCTTGGAATAATATTTAAGGTTGTGATTGCAAACACTCCCACAGTTGACCTTGGAGCATAAATTATATTATAGAGCACTTGACATGGGTACGAGTATTATAAATACTAGCTTCAAATTTGATTTCTTATATAAACTATTTCTATATATAACTAAAGTAACCAAGAAGTATGATTTTAGGTGACATATAAGTGTCTTCATATTGAGATCATCATCGTCAAAACTTTTTTTCAACTAATTGAGATCGGCTACATGAATCATGGTCCACAATTCTAGTATATTAAAGGTCATAGCTTCTCTCTCTCTTCTTCTTTTTTTACAGCGTTGTGGGTAATAGGAGCTTACTGACAAATCTAGTTGAGGCTAGGCAAATGGCTGATTTTTCAAAGGCAAAATGGTTTTTCTTCACAAGGTCAGAACACACTTTTTTTCTTTGTTGGTTTTTCATAAGGGTTTCAAAGGGTCAATTTCAAGATTTCAGACCAAAATGGCTGGGAGAGATCTGTGCAACTTTCTCTCATTGCTATGAAGAGAGACAAAATTTGCAAAGTATCAGGAAGAGTTTATGAACCGGGTCACTAAGTATCCCAATCAAAAGGATATATTGTTTGGAGGTAGAAGTTGGTTTTGCATGACTTCCAACTTTTTCTGTTTTTTTTTAAGCGAGAGCAACTTGAGTTTGCTCTCTCTTAACGTATCTTGAGTGTGAGGGGGATTGTGGAAAGTATAGAAACATGCACTTATTTTTTGGTACGATATTAAGTACAATATTTTCCTTCTTTTTATGTGTACTCATATTATGAAGGTAGTTTATTGCATATGTTACTTTCTTTAGCAGTACACAGCTTTGTAACCCTGTAAATTGGGGCCCTTGTTCACATTTTTTATAAGTTATGTAATACATCTTTTATGGGGCTTAAGGCCCAATTATACATAAACAATTAAATCATTAAAAATTTTAAAAATAAAACTAATTAGTTTTATAAGTTCTGTAATACATCTTTTATGAGGCTTAAGGCCAAATTAAAGAAGCCCCATTAAAGAGGTTTAAGGCACAATTATAAATAAATAAAATTTAAAAATAGTACTAATTCAAACCTTTTTAATTTTTAAGCATAGTGTGATTATCTAAATTAAAATAGAAAATTTTAATTCAAACTGTTCAATTTTTAGTTGTTGTGTAATTATCTCAATTAAAATTCTTAGATGGGAGAGGTGCATGATAGTTGAGAGATTGGGAGAGTTTTAAAGAGCGATGCATCTTTTCAAATATTGAGATCAAACAAAATTGAAATTAACAAATAAAAAGAGAAAAGACATTGGAAGAGTTTAAAAGAGAGATGCATCTTTTCAAATATTGAGATAGAACAAAATTGA